AAGGTGTCATTGCTGCTGCCGCTGCTCCTGGTCGGCGGCACAGCGTAGAGCATGTGGGGTATGCGCGCCGATGGCTTGGCACTGGGTGGGGGCAAATTGTGAGCCACCTCATCGGCGGGCAGGATGCACTCGCCCTTGTGCGTGATCTTCCAATCTGTGAAATCGAGATGCCAACAGTGAGAAATTTGTGGCGAAATGAAATAGAAGCTAAACCTACTGCTATTGGGATCCTTGCAGCGCACACGCTCGAGGTAGCACTCGTTGATGATGGTGTAGCTGATGCCATTACGAACCGCGCAGACCGGGCTGTATTTGCTGGGGCAGGGCTTATCGCAGCGCCGGCAGCGGCCCTCATACAGAATGGTCCAGGCTGTGGAGTAGTTTTAATTACAGTCGCTGGCCAAATCCCCGACGGTTCAGTGCTTACCATTGCCCACCGTTTGACTGAACTCCATCAAAGCGCACACATTGTCGAAAGTGCGACTCTCGCCATTGAAGCTGCCGCAAACGGGTTCATTACTGAACACGCAGGGCTTTGAGCTTACGCGCCTGGCTGGCTGCAGCTCGTTGCCATAACCAGGCCGGGATTTCATTGGGCTGCTGCCATAGATACGCCGGGATAGGCTCCTCACCCTGTCCGACGGATAGGGCTTGCGCGCGGGCAGCGAGTAGCTCTTCTCCATGATGCCCGATTTGCTGATGAATTGGGTGTGAAATGTGGAGGGTGCAAAGATTTGCACTGCATCCTCGGCCATCTCGAAGTCGTCCAACTGATTGACCTGCCTGTAGCTGCGCTTGCTGCGCTCCATCATCGGCTTCGGCTTCGTCTTGGGCTTCCACTTGCGGCTGTGCTTCATCTTGGTGCTGTCCTCGCCGCACAGCCCCTCGGACACGATGCGCCAATCTGCAAAATCGTAACTTGAGCATCTATCGGGCTAGTCTCTTATCGTGCGCTTACTTCTGCCCGTGCGTATGTTCTCCGCGTTGACCAGGCACTCGTTGGAGAAGGTTGACTTGACGCCTGCATAGCTGGCACAGACCGGCCTGTAGACATTCGTGCAGGGTATGGGCCGGCGCCGCTTGCGATGACCCACGAGCACGGTGTGCGCCGGCTGCTTGGGCTGCGTCTGGCCATGGGGACAGACGCCCCACTTGTGCACCAGCCAATCGGATCTGGTCAGGCAGCTGGTGCGCATCATCTCGCAGCGGTTCCGGAAGCTCTTGCGCTCACCTGTGGCAACGCTCACGCCGCACACGGGCTGAGCGGCGCCCTCGCACTCCAGTTCACAGCTGGGCAAACAGTGGTGCAAGGCGACATCAACTGCAAGCGGAAGATGCAAGGAAGCTGGTTAAGTTATCTGACTCCACAACTATAGCTGACTAGGCGACTTACATAGTGGTCCGCCCATCAGATTTTCGCGCTGCGCCTTGCGCAAATCGCACTCGTTCTTGAACAGCAGATACTCGCCCTGGCTGCGTCCACACATGGGCGTATCACTCGCGCACAGCATCGTCTCATGGTCCACAGTGGCAGCTGCCGCAGCCAGCAGAGTGAGCAGAGCCAGCAGCCGAGCTGCTCGCCCGAGTTCTAGGCCAATCCAAGTCATGTTCTGGTGCAATTGCAGTCACTAAGTTCAAACTAAATGCAATTGGAGATGCATTCAGCTCTTTTATACCAAAGCATGACACATGCCGCTGATAGAGCACCAAAAACTGTGGCACTGCCGAGTTGTTGTCGACACGTGATAATCGCACACGCACACACGCGAGAGAGATGCGAGATAAGTGCGCAGATAGAAATATGCTAAGCTGCTGGCATCACATATTGCATTAAGCTGAAAAAAGCTTATCTCCGGCTCGATATGCCAAGCAGCTGCTACAAATTCAGCAACGACGGCTCAAGCACTAAGTTGTTATTTATTTGTATCGGAAAACATGATTGTGAAAGAAAATAGATATTACAAGATTTTTTATCAAACCACAAACAGAAAAACAATTTTTTTTGGATGGCCAATTAAAACTTTTTCTGCCTGGGATTATCAAATTATGTGTATGCAATTACTCGTTTGCATTTATATGCAGCCAATGATACAAATATACTCAAAATTTATATGATTAATTTCAAACTCGTCGTCAGTCTTAGAGTTCTCTCTCCTCAAAGTGAAAATTAGATTGCTTTCAGGCTCAAGAAGTGGTTTACTAATGATTATATTTCTAGTAATTGAGAAATTTTTTGATTTAGTGAATTAGATGTTCGATTGGTCTTTTACTTGGCCACATCGAGAATCTTGTTGCGGCTTTTGCTACGTGATTTCTGGGCGATTTCGACGAAGCGGCGCGAATCTAGATAAGACTTCAAACTTGGCATTTGCATTGATTGTGTGGTCTCTGCTGCTGATACAGCTGCTGCCGCTGGCAGCATTTGGAAAAAGTTTATAACTTGTCTGAGTGACAACTATTTGGCGCTGGACTGTGCTGTGACTATCTTTTCCGTACTTCTGCAAACTGATTATGGTGCATTTCGAGCTGCTTATCGCCCCCAACGGCTTTACTCATGCTGCACTTCATGCCGTATCAATAAAGTTGACCGAGCTGAAAACTGCCTGAATTTAAGTTGAGTTCAGAAAGAGAGAGACAGAGAGAGAGAGAGAGAGAGAGAGAGAGAGAGAGAGAGTAGGTGTGGGTGTGTCGCTTTTTTTATGCTATTGAGTGAATTTTGTGCAATCGGCAATGGAAATTCTCTAATATCCGGCCGATAAGTGGGCGACGCACATATTCATTCAGCAAAATATGTCGAGCATTCGCACGCTTGCAGCCAAGATAAGCTTTAATCTGGCATATCGAAGTTGTCTTTAAGCCAAGAGGCGTGAGTGATGGGCAGATATGCATTGTAGATTCAATGTTGTTAACTTGAAGTGTGAATTGAAGAGTTTTCCATTAGTCTCTAATCTTTGGGCAAATGCTTTGCTCATTTAAAATTAAGTTTCTGTCCACTTCAAAGTCATTCATCTCAGGAAATAAAGATAAAGCGCTGGGGGGAAACTATTTCGATTAAATTCAACAGGCTTTCGGTTTCATTGGCAGCGATTATTAATGCGATAAAAGTTGATGAGGCTGCTTTGACTTATTGACAGCAATAAAAATCACTTGCATATTTGTCAAACTGATATACTAGTTTGCCTGCATAGCAGCACACATGCATGCAAATGGACACGCTTTTAGCGATTCGACTCGGGCTCCACATATCTTGGCTCGACTAAGGCCATCAACTAAATTAATTTGCGTTTTTAATAGCCTGCAGCTTGAAATGTTTAACTGAAAGTTCGACTCTCTTTGCATGTTAACTGTTGAATTAACACCATGAAGTCTAAATGTCAAATATATTTTTCGTTAGCACAAATAGCAGACGGCTCGTTTCGAGCTGCATTTTAAATATAAATAAATATGCATAAATTTATAATACTCATATACACATGTGTGCAACGGAATTTGTACTCAGGATATTTCAGCTGTCATGTTATGTCATTCATACAACAAATTTTGCCAGTCGAAATATGTGTATATATTAATTTGTTGGCTTCAACAAATCCAGTGACAGAAGCTTGAAACATGTGCAAAAAATATTGAATACCAGAAGCTTGAAATCGATGTGAAACGGTTTCATGGCAACGGAATATCTTATTAATTTATTTGCAAGAAACTTGATCAGCGCATGCTATAGAAAAACCTAAGCGTGCATAACCAAGGCTGTGACTCTGAGAGACTCTGATGTCGTTGCCTTCCTACAAACGAACTCCGTACTAACGGTCAGAGAGACAGACAGACAGACAGACACACAGTTAACTGTGCAAGGACAAATTTTCTTGACTCTTGATTCTAAGCAAGAAGAAGGAAAGAAGGGATCAAACTTGGATTTTGTTGTCTGCTACACATACAGTAGAGCTCCGATAGTTGGAAATGGCAATGGGAATTACGATTTCATTTTCATTTTTATTTCAATATAATGAATTAATGAACTAGTGAACCAAAATGAGTGAAATACAAATTTCTGCATTTTTTCGAGGCTTTCAATATAGAGAGAGACAAAATATCGCGACTCCATTGTATTCAAATTTAAGAGTATTCCCGCATTAAATTGGTTCAGAGCTAATCCTCACTAATCCTATTACGCTCTAGCAGACCCATTAGTGAGTTGTAATGACCCAAAGCTTTCATTCGCCAAAAGGCACTTTTTAAGGCCATAAACATTTTTTATCTTGGCAGTCTAATGATTGTTGGGATCAATCTAGCGTTAGACACCTGGCTATTTTTGGCAAAGAGGTATTGGGATCTTGGTCGATTTTCGCGTTGACATAATCGTCGGCGAATCATTACGAACATTTCGTGCCGATCTGCTGGCAGCTACGCTGTGCAAGCCATTAGAAGCCAGCCAGAAGCATCTTCAGAGCTCAACGCTAATGGCCAACGATTTGAGAACAGCCATAGAAACGGGCGCCAAATTGCAAAAATTTAATAATGCGCGCCTAATGGGAAATACCCGTTTGCTCTCGAATGGCCCGCTCGGAGCTGCAGATCACGAAAAGAAAGCCATTGTGAGCGTTTGCTGAATCTGAGCGCTGAATGGAGTGCGCCGCATAACTAGGTGAAATGTGAAAGACAGGGAGAGAGAGAGAGAGAGAGAGAGAGAGAGCGGACAACTGAGAGACAGTGGGAGAGCTCGAGTAAGCGGCGATCATGGCAGTGTCTTGGATGGCCACTTGCTTGGCTGGTTGGCTGCTTGGCTGCTTGGCTGCTTGGCTGCTTAGCTGCGGCGGTGTGGCTGCGGTCTTTGGCAGCTTTGTTAGAGCAGCGGGAAAAAACGCAGCGCAGTCTAACGACAAGAGCTGAAGCAGAAAGACATGCGACGACGGGTGCAACGGCCACCAGAGTCAGTGAACGCAACGCATTAAATCAAAGTTACAACAACAACAACAAGAAATACATAAACATAAAAATTAGTGAAGCCCACTCAGAGTTAAAACCGTAGATCTTCAGATAATCCGACTTTAAGGCCCAGTGTTGAAACATAGACAGAGCCCTAGATAATTGGCCCGTGTTGAATATGGTTGTGCAAAAGGCAGCCACGCCCACACTGCCAGCCGCAGCGGTGGCAGACGGCCCGGGCAACTGCTACATGCAACAGTATCAGAAATATGCCACACACTGCGAGACGGCGGACAGCGGCAACGGCAGCGATCTGGAGAGCAACGGCGGCCCCGTACAGGCCACACTCATCCTAACGGACGACAGCGAGGAGAGCGAGCCCTCCTCCTTGAACAGCGACAGCCTCAACTGCAGCAGCACGGAGTACGTGCGTCAGGCAGCCGCCAAGCCCAGCGGCCAGCTGGGACAGCGCCAACGACACAAGTCGCTGCGCATGCTGGGCACGCTGCTGCCGGACTCGCTGCTGCGCGACATACGGGACAGACGGAGTGCGGAGTACGTGGTGCAGTTTAACAGCCCCGTCGAGGTCAAGGACAAGCCGCCAAACCGGCAGGCCAAGGTACTGACCATAGCTGAGCCAGAGCCAGAGGCCGAGAGGGAGACGGAGGTAGAGACAGAGACGGAGGCAGAGTCGTTGCGCTTGTCGCGCGAGTCGCTCAACGAGGCGAAGATCGAGGAGCTGCGCGCGGCGGTGCAGCGAGCCAACTTTGTGCAAACCGGTGAACAGGCACAGCTGGCAGCCACGTCGCAAACGGACAGCCGCAACAGTAACGGTAACGGCAACAGCAACAGCAACAGCAACAGCAACAGCAACAACAACAGCAACCGCTGCAGCAGCAACTACAAATATGCGGACGATCAATACTACAGCTTTCACATAAACGAGCACGAGAACTTCAGGAGCTTCGTGCGGCACGGCGACCAGCGGGACGCGGCAGCCGAGGATGAGGAGCACGACGTCTTCGCTGGCTATCGAGATGTGCGCAGCAGCGCCAGCTCCACACAGTCCACAATACGCTCCGCCAAGGGAACGGTGCGCGGCGTTAAGAATCGTGTGCGCAATGGAATAGCCACGTTCTTGCAGCTGCAGCAGCAGCCAAATGCAAAGGTGAGTTGTGCAACAGTCAATTTCCCACGCTCTGTCTACATCTGTGTGTGTGTATATGTGTATATGTGTGTGTTGCCCTTTATTGAGTCACCTGCTGTCTAAATTATGCAATCACAGCGCGCGCATCTCTTGGCAAATTGTTTACCAATTGCACGCTCCATGGGAGAAAGTGCTGCCAAACAATTGCCGTTAGTCGTGYTTGCTGYTGTTGCTCTGGTTGCTGCTGTTGGTTTTCAATACATACATACAYWTATAGATATACATATATGTGTGTGTATCTGTATATGTATCTTTCACATTTGGTATTTATGTCTGTCCGTCTGCTGCTCGTAATCTAATGAGCCACGAGTCTGGCTAACACCATAAGCACTGCATCTTTTCTCCATTCTCTGTGTGTGTGTGTGTGGTGCGTGCAATTACACACTCGCATGTATAATGAATACCGTTAAGTGGCTTATTTTGTTGTCGCTCGCTTGGCTATGGCTTATTTAGATATCGGTTTTGTGGTGCTTTGCCACCACTCGCTGGTTTGGGCCAGCGGCTATTTTGCTCTGTCTATTTTCTGTCCATTTGTTTTTTACCTTTTTATTTTGTTGTTGTATTTTTTGTTGGTTTTCTTTGCTCCCAGAGAGATAAATGGTTTAGCTTGAGCCGTTGAGCTGCTAATGGCAGCGCTCGGAAATTGTGCAGTTAGAAAACTTCAACGAACAACAATAGCAACAAATAATCATAGAAAGTCAGCAGAGTTGTTGGAAATTGTCAACATTTTCTTTGGGGCGGGCGCTGAGATCTCATTGTAAGCGAAACGAATCAGAAAGTCAATTAATGAAACAAGAGAGTGTCATCTAACTAAGATATTATTAACATATTTCCCTGCCCCGCTAAGTATAGCGAATGTTCGAGATCAGATGTCGGCAATACCCCCACWKACATTYATTTATGCGTGTGTGCGATAGCCACAGCGTATTCAGTATCCACGGGAAGACGTAGATTACATTGCTTCGCAATCAAGTAGTGCACTTCCTATCGCCTATCGACATATATTATTTAACTCCATTACATCCAGCTCATACGAAACTCGATTCGCGTCTATTTTTATGGCGGCTAATTACCCATTCGCCATGCAAGAATACAGGTAAACAAACAAAAAGTTAATTGATATATCGTAGCAAAAAAAAAAAAAACTCTGTTCTCGAATCGAGATATCTATCTTTGACAATGGAAACAGCTCTGCAGCTCTGGCAAGTCTCAAGAAAATACTCTAAGGCCAGAGTCGTAAGCTTTAAAATTTCTGTCATCATCTCATTAGAACATTGCTTATGTCCAATTACTACATCATTCATATGATCTAGAGAAATAAACAAAGTTTGTAGGCAGGAACTGTCAAAATTTCACAATGTGGCGTATAGTATGATTATAAATAAACCCAGAAGCCTGTTTACTTCATGTCATTGTTAATGAAAGTGTAAATAAAGTCTCAGCTGTATTCAGTGCATAAAAAAAACCATATCTCGGCAAATCTAGTTCTGTGAGTCGATAAGTTAATCACATTGTTTTATTCATTAATTATTAAATCAGTAATTAAACACATTCAAGCCGCTCTTCAAGTTTCACATTTTAGAAAACTTTATCAGATATCGTCAAAACATTCAAATTCTGAAGGCTTCAATCATTATAAATGCGATGCATATCAGAGATATGCGCAGACAGTTATTTCAGCATTTTATATCGAGCATAAAAATCAGTTCATCCACAAAGCTGATGGAACTTTCCGTTGCTCTGTAATGCTATAGATGGGTTTATTTGGGGTTTGTTTTTTTTTTATGCTCTTTAACTTTTATTATTAAGTTAGTCAGCTGTGCGCATTTCACTTCCACCGAAGACCCGGAAATTTCCCTTTATCTATTTTAATGCTCAGATTTAAGATCAGTTTAATTGTTGGTTTTGTTG